AAACACATTAGTATCATCAGCAAATATAATATATTGTAATGATGTAGTTGAGTTCGAGATATCATTAACATACAGTAGAAACAATAAAGGACCGAGTATCGATCCTTGTGGGACTTCATAGGCAATAATGATGAATCTACAGATTCGTAGCTTACATATTGCTTTCTACCTGACAAATAATCATTAAACCAATCAAGAGCAACTCCTCTTACTCCGTAATAATGAAGTTTGCTTGATAGTACCTTGTGATCAAGAGTGTCAAATGCTTTGCTTAAGTCCATGAATACACCAATAACATGCTTTCGAGACGCCAAAGCATTCGAAACCTTATCATATAATTGTGCAAGGGCTAAATCGGTTGAGTGGTATTTCCTGAAACCATATTGATCCTGATTCAGTAAGTCATTTTCTGTTAGAAAACAATATAGCCTATTGTATATAAGTCTTTCCAATACTTTGGACAAACTCGAGAGAATAGAAACAGGGCGATAGTTTGAGACTTGGGAAGAGTCATCCTTTTTGTATATCGGAACAACCTTAGCAATCTTAAATGCTTCTGGAAATGTACCTGTCGTCAGAGAGAGATTAAAAATATGCACTAGTGGGGTTATTATATTTCCTATAACTTGTTTCAAAAGATATGTGCTTATCCCATCATGACCGTTAGCATAGCTTATTTTAAGAGAACGTGCAATATTCAAGATTTCAATCAAGTTTGTTGGTTTGAGAAATAATGACTTGTTGCAGGGAGTTTGAAGAAATTGTGAGAAGTCGACTCCGTTCGAAGCTATTGTATTGGCCTGATTGGGGCCAACCCCAACAAAGTAAGCATTGAAGCAATTTGCTATTTCTTTTGAATCAACCATTGTATTATTATCTTTGGTAATATGACACTTTGATTTACTCTTTTGTTTTTTGAGGGCTTGATTGATCACATTCCACGTTGATGATGCATTTCCATTTGCATTTTCAAACTGCTTGGCAAAATACATTTGTCGAGACTGTCTAATAATGGTGGTTAGTTTGTTCCTATATGATTTGTAATTATTCAAGCTTTCCTCTCCTGGGTGTCGAAGACTATATTTATATAATCTATTCCGTTTTTTAATAGAGCAAAAGATACCTTTAGTTATCCATGGCTGCTTGATTCTATTTCTTGCCGATCTTTTTTTAGTCATTGGGATATGTTTATTTAAAAGAGAGGAGAACAAGTTCCAAAAAAGTGCATATGCCTTATTGGTGTCAGTACATGCGACCACGTCATTCCATGTTACTTTGAGTAGTTCGTCATTAAACATGGCTATTTTTTCAGCTGTGATTTTACGTATCATAGCTTGATTCTTTTCGTCCTCAGGATAATTGCGAACATGATTACAAATCAGGAAAATTGGAAGGTGGTCAGAGATTTCACTATACAAGAGGCCAGAGCCTATATAGTTATTGGTGACATTTGTAAAAATGTTATCTATCAATGTAGAAGAGTTATTTGCCAATCTGGTTGGTTTATCAATCATGGCATTGAATGAATTTGATCGTAACATATTATGAAAAGTATTATCTTCCTGCAAAAGATCAATATTAAAATCACCCATCAAGTAAACATCCTTATTTTCTAGATTGACCTTATGCAGCATCCTATCAAACTCATCCAAAAATAATTCAACATTTGTATGCGGAGTTGTTGGGAGCACTGACAGCTTTGAGAGAGCCCTGAAATCTTATTTGTTTTCGAAGGTTTCCTATATATTGCTGGTTAGGAGGTTGGATCGACATTATGGGTGTTTGTTTGTTGAATTTGTAATTTGTCATGCCAAACAGTTTTACTTATCAGGTATAATAATAGGTGAATTGGTTTACTTTCCCATAAATATTTTTGTTATTTGCTTAAATACTTTGTTATTTATTATGGTGTATATATATTCAAAGTTATCATGATTGTAAAGCGCTTTTCAATTTATTATGCGCTTAATAAATATTCTCTATCTTTATTATTATTATTAAAGAACAATATTTCCCGGGAAAGCTTAAAAAGAAAAGGAATCAATTGCCGTTTTTCGAAAACCGTCATAAGACTAACTTATTTGATACCCCATTGAAACGCGTGTTATAAAATATTTCCACGGGAAGTCCACGAACTTAGAATTATGACGATTTCTAAAAACTGGCCCCTAGACTCGGAAACATGGGCGTATAAGCCAGGGGGCTAGGGGCTGTAACCCTTCTCAAAATTTGAACTCACAAATATTTCGGCTATCTGTAATTTGAAATCGTATCTACAATTATCTTGATGACGAAAATATAAATTGTTCAATTATAAAGACTTTAACAAATATATAACGCTCTCTCGCTCGCAGTTATTAGAAACAGAAACATAGTAATAATAATAATAATAATAATAATTTGTTCTTTTATAGCGCATTTCATGTCTGTTGACATTTCAATGCGCTTTACACTTTTAAAATAAACATAATTATATAGAGTATAACACGATCATAAAAGGAAGATGAAACAAAAACATATACAGAAAACAATGAAGTGCTTACAAAAGAAGAATTATAAAAGTAAGCAAAATAACCGACTACATTATATTCCGGCGATTGGACAAACTTTGAACGCTGAGGTGATCTCGAGGCAACTACATGTATCTACCAGAGCTGAAGGCGAGGGAAGATAAAGTCACCCCAGAGATCACCGAGGCAATGATAGTAAATGTGTCCACCTGCCTAAGTAAAGGAGGTGATTATTAAATTTGCTTTGTAGGCCTATCACACATCAACAATTAATTTTCAAATGAGAAGATGAGTTAATGATGGCATGTTGTTTGGGTTTTACGGTAATAATAACAGTGCCCTCAACTGTATTATAATTATAGTAAGGAAAGAAATTATGCAAACAGTGTTTGCCAGTTTTTGAACACATAATATCAGCGATAAAGTGCTTTTGTAGCATGGAAAAGTATATATATGTAAAACAAATCTGAAAGAAAATAAATTAATGAAAAAGTGGCTACTTTTTGCATGGTGTTTCTGATTTTTTTTTATTTCTTCTAAATACATATTGCAAACTAAACCTGTAATATTTTTAAAGTAGTGAACTTAAATGTGTAAATGATATCTATACATGTATTTTCTTATCATATTTTGAATGGCCAAGAATATTATTTTGAAATTCTGCATGTATAAATCAATTCTTGTATATTATGTGATTCTAGGGGGGCTCGAGCTCCCCCCTAGAAAAAAGTTTATAAAAGAGAGAGAGAAAGAAAGAGAGAGGGAAAGAAAGAAAGAATAGTGACCTGCCAGTGTCACAAAATAATGAGGTATCAAAATATTCTCATCTGACCGTGATTAAATGCCTAAAATCCCTGAGCTTCCGGGGCTCTGTCCCCTGGATTCCACCTAGGGCCCTTGGGGGGGAGGGGGGCTCGAGCTCCCCCTATAAAAAGTTTATAAAAGAACAATAGAAAGAAAGAGAGAAAGAAAGAATAGTGACCTGTCATTGTCACAAAAAATGAGGTATCAAAATATGCTCATCTGACCGTGATTAAATGCCTAAAATCCCTGAGCTTCCGGGGCTCTGTCCCCTGGATTCCACCTAGGGCCCTTTGGGGGGGGGGGGGGCTCGAGCTCCCCCTATAAACAGTTTATAAAAGAACAATAGAAAGAAAGAGAGAAAGAAAGAATAGTGACCTGTCATTGTCACAACAAAAATGAGGTATCAAAATATGCTCATATGACCGTGATTAAATGCCTAAAACCATCCCCTTGATTCCACCTAGGCCTATAAGGCGGGCCCCTGGAAGCTCATCTGACCGTAATTTAATGCCTAAAACCCTGAGCTTCCGGGGGCTCTGCCCCTTGGCCCCCGCCGGGGCTTTGCCCCTAGACCCCAGGCCAATTTACGCTACGGTCTACCTGATTGTAATTACTTTACCCTTAAATCCTCCGCCCACTTTGAAAAACGTTCAGCGGGGCGTGCATTTAAGAGTGGTGGTGATACGGATTTTTTTCCTGCCCCCCCCCTCCAAACGCTTTTGCGCATTACGCTACTGCTTTACCATTATGTACCAATATTTGGCTCGCATAAATAATTTACCCCCCCCCCCCCCCTATGAAATCCTGGATCTGCGCCTGGGTATGGGCCCTATAATCCTTCATCATTAGGCCTACACGGATATCTTTTTAGATAATCTATTGATTTTTTTTTTCAATCTCAGTGCATCCGCCCACTACCTTAAGCTTCACTTTATTGTAGTCGTTGGTGGAGGTGAAAATGGCCCCATATTTTCGTGCTTTTTTAATATCATTTTCAACAAAATAAAATTATGACTAAGCAGACCCGTTTTTTGCCAAAACTTTATATGCAGGGAAAAAATGTTTTCTATTATTATTCGGGCTTATCGAATACACATTTACAAAAGTAGGCCTACATGATTTTAAGTACATGATGGCAGTGGCAGATCCAGGGAAAAAAAGGTGTAAAAACACGTTAACTTTACCTTTTGGGGGGAGATGTCCCCCTCCCCCTGGCGCTCAAGGGGGGGGGGGGGGGGGGTGCAAATTTTCAAATTTTCGGGAGCGAAAAAAAAGGAAAAAATAGTGCTCTCTACCCCCCCCCCCCCCCCCCCCCCCCCCCCCCCCCCCCCCCCCCCCCCCCCCCCCCTCCACTGAGCGCATTTTCGGACGGCGTGATTTTCAAATTTTGGGGAGCAAACAAAAAAATTGGGCCCCCATCCCTAAGAAATTCTGGATCCGCGCGCCTGCATGATCGATGGCGAACATTATGCCCCGGTTCTTTATCAAGAAAACCAAAACAAAACATATATATACCCTAGATCTAATTTTCCAGCTGATAAGAACATCCCGCAAAATTACCCCTTTGGATCATACTTATATCTAGACGGATTCAACGTATTAACTAGTTTCCGTTTTTGTTGCTTGATCGCTATAAATCGGCAAAACGTAACCCGATGCTAACTAGCTATGAAAATTGTCTGCTACCCTCAGTAAATTCCCAGGCCGGATTGAGTTTGTTATCGATAAACACACCGCTAAATAATGGATTTACTGGGCAGTATTTTGAGTTCCATGGAGAAACCTCCTTCAGTAGGAGAGAAAGAAAAGAAGTTAGCACAAGGTGAGAGTCAAGGAGATACAATTTTTCCTGATGATTAGTTATTTTGCAATTTGCATTTGATCGTCCACGACGTAGAACTAGAACTTAAGTGCAGAGCTGCGGCCAAGCTACCGGTAATTGCATCAACTCTGACCCCGTGGCTGTGGCTTGCTGTGGCCTGTGGAGAGGCAACGAGTCCCTTGCTCCGCGGCCGCGCGCGCGGTAAACTTTAGTTTCAGCTAAACTAACATTACAGCCAACTATAGCCCGAATTTTCTGTCTCTTTCGTTCGTTAAGCCTCTTATTTGGGTAGGGTCGGCTCATCTCTTTAGAGCCAGAAGCGGACCATAGGCATTCTCCTTCAAACACCATGGCCATTTACGGCCATATTTTTATGCCCCCCAAATTCCCCAAAATTTCATTTTACCTCATGCATATCCAATTTATTCTATATTGTAATTTAGGCCTAGATCTAGGCTATTATACGTCGGATCCACTTACCTTCTTGACTGAATAAATCTGTTTAATGGTCCATTTTCAGGAAATTATGGGTCGAAATCGACATCCATGTTGAAAATCTTGCAAACCGTATTTTAAACTCTCTCTGCGCATGACGTCGTCTAAATATCATCCCTTCTAGAAGGCAAAATGATTATGAAGAAAAACTGTGATAACGTCATTATGAACTTGTAGCTCGATGCATACAAAGGGGCTTTGCTTACCTTGCACATTTTGCTGTTGATGTAGAATGGCCATGCAATTTTGTGTGTATTATTTGAGCTTTGTTGGGATTGATTCTGTGTTTTACCCCTCGTCTTATCTTGATCCTTATTCTTTTCCTGACCCCTATTCTCTTCTTGACCTTCTTCAAATGAAGAGAGGAAGAACCAGATTGAGAAGATGAAGCTGGAGGACAGGAAGCGGAAGAACGAATTCAGAGCAAAAGTCGAGAAAGAAGTTGATGCATTTCTGAATGACAGCGCACGAACCAGACTGAAGTATCCACCAATTGACAAGGTTTATCGCAGCATAATGTAAGTCTTACCGTAATCCTATGTTTTTCCATCCATCATACAGCAAGTCGGTGAACTGAACATACAAAAATAGGGTTGTAGGCAATGTACCTCTAAGATGTTTTTAGAAAGCTAAATGAGAAAAGAATCTCCAAAGATACAACTTTTGTTTAATTTGATAATGAGTTGTGTCATCAAATCCAGATTAAGCATTAATGTAGACCTCCAAATCCCCAATTAAAGTTGTCTTTCCTACCCTGCAAAAAGACATATTTTATACATAATGTTTATTATCTTTGGAATTTTATTTAATTTTGTTGCCCTATCACAAGTATAATCTTTAAAGATTTTAATATGTATTGATTTTCCAGAATGAATTTGGTTGTAAGAAATACATATAAAAGGTGGGAATCTGTGTATGGCCTAATTATTTAATGTTATAACTTTAGAATATATGTATAATTTAATTAAATATTTTGGGCAAACTTTTTATTTGCACTGTCTATGAACAAATCTTTTTGGAAAATGACATAGATGTATATATGGTACTCTTTGACATTAAAGCATACTTCAGAATCCTGCCACCAATTTTGATGAGTCATTTCACTTTGAAATATTCTGTTTTACAGACATGATGTTGCAGAGGTAGCTGGAATGACTTCATTCTCATTCGGAGAGGCAGAGGTAGACCGCTATATCATGTTGTTCAAAAAGGTATGGGGCAATGGTTTTTGCTGCTTCAAGAATTAATAAGAGATATGAGAGATATATGCTGCTTATAAGTAATGGCTTGCATGGTGATGTGAGAGATATTGCAGTGTCGGTTATTGTCATGTATTCATCAGTGAAAGTGTATTTTGGTGGTTTTAACTCTTAAGCCCATCGTGCTCTACAGGATCCCCCTGCTATCCGATTTTTGGAAGAAATGGCAATTGTATTACTATTAAATATGGAAATCTAAACATACATCATCTATTAAACTGAGTTTGGTTCTAAACAATCAATATTCCTCACAACCATAATTTCTAATTATTCTAGTCAGAATACAAGCCAAATTAGTTTCCAATCATAGTCAAATGCACTAGTGGTATGACGTCACTACGATTCTGAGCTGATTTAGGTTTTCCTTCTCCAAAGAAGAATGAATTTCCTTTAAGTTTAGATTTTATTCATCATATGACTATTCAGATCCTCAATCGTATTAAGATTTTTGAATTTTGAATGTTTATAACAAATTTTTTTGCAAATTCTTCCCAAATCAGATCCTAGTCGGTCGTATAGTGTCTAATTTGAAAGCCGTAAGAGGATCAAAACAAAAGTAATGTAGACTTGTTTGGCTGGTCACATTTGTTTCTTCATTAAATACAGTAATATCCTTTTGTAATTCCCATTTCTCCTTTATTTTGAGGTATATTTCAGCAACCAGAGTCTGCTGACTTTTAAGAATAGGGACAAAACTAACTAATCATGCGTCATGTGTCTTCCATTTAAATACATGTACATGTACTAACTTCCAAACATGCATAACGGATACATTGAGTGATTTCAAGTTGGATGTTAGTATTAGTGTTAGTGTTAGTGTAATTTTGCAAAGTCGATAAAACTAGCTACCGGAAGTTGACGATATTCCAGGGGCAGATCTAGGGGGTTTCAGCGGTTTAAACCCCCCCCCCCCCCCCCTCCATGGGCGCCCAAGGGAAGAAAAAAAGTGGACAAAAGGGGGGGGGGGGAGAGAAGAAAAAAAGTAAAACAGCGCAATTTTTGGAAAATCCTGGATCTGCCACTGGGTTAACCCCCCCCCCCCCCCCCCCCCTGGCAAAAAGCTAGATCCACCCCTGTATTCAGAGGTCAAAGCCTTAACACCAGCTGATTTCCATTTTTGTGTTTAGGGCTGGTGTTAGTGTTTATTCAACACTAACACCAGCCCTAAACACCCAACTTCAAATCATTTGTGCTTGTGAAGGTACATTATGTTCCAAAAGTGTCTTGTGCATAATTCCTTTTATTGAATGTTTTCTTGATACAGGAAATCCCTCCTACTGAGGAGGAACTCAATGCCTACAAGAGAGGAGAGAAGTGGGACCCAGAGGAGGCCAGGTTCCTGGCAAAGAAAGTGGTACGTCGAAATAGAATCGTTCATTTCTTTTCTTCTGTTTTCTTGTTTTGTGTGGCCTGTTACAATAAGAATTCAGTAAGTTTATTGTAATTGATTTATATAATCAGTAACACAAATGTGTGGCTTATTCCTTTTCTTTCTTTCCCCATGTTTGTACAACCCATGGAAAGAGAAATAGAATAATGTCATTGACATATTACTGGCAGTATGAACTAAATATGTTGATGTAGATTGTAGGTTCATCTCAGTCACTTTAGAATGTTGAAATAAAGACTTTATAAAAAAGACAACATCAATTACAAATGTGAGTTATGATTCAAATTCTGGGCTTCAAATATGAGGTAAATCAAAATTATGTACTACCTTTAATGAATGAATATATTACAGCATTATTTTATTTTCCTGTTGCTTGAAATCCGTGCAGGCGGAGGAGGCGGAGAAGGCGCGGCAGGTGGAAGAGGCAAGAGAACCGGTCAAGGTGGTACCCACTTCAGATTACAAGGCTAAGTACAAAGACTTGATCGGGGAGGAGAGTGCCAAAGATGCAGCCCGTCATCTCACACCAAACAAGCAGTTTGGCTTCGGTAAGTCTTCCATTGATTCTTCCTATCCATCTATGTTAAAGTCAGGTGATCTGTCGCATGGTCCGAGTATTAAAGTCAGGTGATCTGTCACATGATCTGAGTATTAAAGTCATGTGATCTGTCACATGATCAGGTGAAATTTCCTCTGGACAGTCTTTATCTTGTGGAAAAGACAGGGTATGGGTTATGGTTGCAATTTGGGTGCTTTGTTTAGGGCCGGGTTGAGGTGAAGTGTTGGGTCCAAATTTGAATTTCAGATTTATTTCTTTTGTGTGTGTGTGTGTACCGTAAGGAAATGACTGCAGAGCAATATGCGCTGGAGCAAGGGTTATGGAACCAAAATTCACTGTGAAACTTTGATGGTTACGAGGGTGGAATTCTAATTTCCATGTACTTCTTTATTTGTTGTTATCTTTATGCCTCCGTTACGAAGTAGCCGGAGGCATTATGTTTTCGGGTTGTCCGTCAGTACGTACGTACGTCCCGTTCTCGTGATCGCGTTATCTCAAGAACCGACTGATGGATTCCTACCAAACTTTGGTCATGTATGTAACTTGCAGAGCCCATGAATTGATTAGATTTTGGGGTCATGAGGTCATAGGTCAAAGGGCTCATTATGTATGCAAAAGTAGCTTGTGATCACATTATCATTAGAACAGATAGACAGATTACCATGAAACTCAGGACATGTATGTATCTTGATGAGGCAATGAACTGATTATATTTTGGGGTCATGAGGTCAAGGTCAAAGATCATGGGGCTCATTATGTATGCAAAAATAGCTTGTGATTGCATTATCATTAGAACCGATGGATGGATTACCATCAAACTCAAGACATGTATGTATCTTGCATTTGGGGTCATGAGGTCAAAGATCAAAGGGTCATACATGTATATGAGAAAAATCTTGTAATCACGATATTCTGAGAACCTGTTAATGGATTTCAACCGAACTTGAATTTGAAAAATTTCTTCCATTTTGGTTTCTAAAATTGCTCTATGACGGAGGCATCACTTTCGACTGCGCGCAGTCAAAGTTCCATCTAGTTTTTTTTTACATTACATTAACGAGTGTCATGTACTTTAATTTCATGATATTTAAAGGAACTACTAAATATATTCATTGCAGTCAACTTTTTCATTGGTTTGATTTGAAAATAGAAAGTTTTTCATTGTACCATATGCATTTTTTAAATTTATTTTTAATTTTTTTACATGAGTGAAGATGACATTAACGAGTGTTATTTAATTAATTTCATGATATTTAAAGGGACTATTAAATATATTTAATTATTTATTACAGTGTTACTTAGTCAACTTTTTCTCTGTTTTGATTTGAAAATAGAAAGTTTTTCTTAGATTCAATAGATAGGCATGTATATATGCTTAATCGGGCTTACTATTAGATAGATGCAAAGTGAGATAAGGAAAGGGTGTATGAGATGTCAAAATGGTATATGTGCATACAGACCACATATCAAATAATCGTTGATCATTCTACCTCCGGTATCTATATATTGTATTCTGTCTTCACAGTTCCGAGCGAAAATAAAAGAGACAAACGTTCAGTGGAGGAGACGTTAGATGCAATACGAGCTAAGAAGCAGAAGAAATATGATGACGGTATCCACCAAGTTCCGAGTAATATCGTGGCAGAGCTTTGCAGTACATCAAACACAGAAATCATCGTGGAGGTTCCAAGTGCTAGTCAAATTGAGGCAAAGACAGAGAGTAGCAGTTCATCAAAAACAGAAGATCAATGATGCTTGTATCCCTCAGTTTCTAGATATTTATATGTATTTTTTTTTCGTTATGCTTGTGTAAGTTTATTTTTCCACTGCAAGTACATTTTACTTCTCATGCAAATATCAAGGATTCTTTAAAGCTGTGATGGAAGGCAGGGCTCCCCACACGCTTTTATTTTATTGCTTGGATCCAAAATGATATTAAAGATAAAGACCAGTTATGGTCATGCGATTGCATTGTGAAAGAAACGTTGTGGAATCGATCAGAAAAGGTTGATCATCTAGCATATAACTATTGGTGTGTACTGCAAGGTTCTGGAATCATCAAAATGATAAGAAATTTGGCCCAGTCTTCGTAAAGTTACAAGCACTTACACAGAAGATGTGTATTGGACTACGCACACATGCGCGACACATGCGTTTATCTCTCACAGTCCAATAGATAAACTAATTTACCAAATATATCAATTAGTAGGCGGTTTCCCGGCAAATTTTTTATCATCATGTATTGGTCAAAACATATTCTTTCACATGATTAGAAATAAAGAGCATCCATTTCATTTTTTTTCCCAAAACTGGTCTTTCCCTTTAAGGGGTCTGAAGGCCATATTTACTTTTACAATGTATGGGTAGGACCACTAGGATGTGGGACTCAGAAGCATAATTGTGTGAGACAATTTGTAAAGAACCCCAGTTCCAGTTTGTGTGGAGCCCTATCATATTAATGTTTGTAATCATGTTCATCTAAAATTAAACATTCTGAAATGAGATATGTTGTAAGGAATAAAATAGAATTTAAAACACATACAAAAACATCCTCCTCTTTGATTGAAATACAATTCACATAAGCATTTATCTGCAAAATGATTTTTTTTATTTAAAAAAAACAAAATTTATATTGATTTTTAATGTGATAAAGAAGTGATGCATCAATTATTGTCCATTACTAGCAATCTTCTTTGTTTCAAGGGGCAAATAGAAGGTATTTGGTGTCCTATTTCTTACGAAGTATACATTTTGAAGTATTAATGATATAAAAAAATATACAATTGAAGTATCATTTTACTTGTTATTTAGTACTCTGCTCCAAGCTGTAGAATAGAGCTAATGATAAACTTCATACGATCATCTGATGTACTTACCAGTAAATCTTTGGTGTTATATTTTATATTTTGAACATACATGTATATAAATTGACATCAAAAGTATCATGCTACTTAATAAATTTTCTCCTTTCAAGCTCTAGCAGGGCTTGCAAATTTAACAGTCATCCAATATGCTGATGTCTTTATATTTGTGGATGTGGTTGGTAGTATATATGAGACAACCAAAAAAGCTTGAACTTGCCCAAATATAGCAGGGAAAAAAAATCATGAATATACCGGTATACATGTAGATTTCATATGAGCACTTTCAGTTTTGCACATCAGTGTGATTTAATTCCTCCTGACTTTTAAAGGTACTATGTCCCATTTGCAGGCCAAAAAAAAGAAAAGGTTAAATTCCAACGGCATTTGAAAGATAATACTAATTTAGAGCTTCCCTGAAAAAAGGGGGCTTGAAAATGTCTTTAAGTGAGAAAATAACGACTATTAGTTGTCAAAACGACTTAAGAGCTTTAGAGCCTGTAAGTCATAGTCTAATTTTCAGACCATTGTACCGAATGGTCTTACGTTTTATGCTGCGCACAGATTCAATCAGTTTAATTTTGGCCATTACAAGAATTGGGTTATTGACGTAGAAAAATGCTCATGTACTCTTTACAGCTCATTTTATGTATGTTATTACCAAAAAAGAAAAAAGCTGGTCAGTCACTCAATAGCGTCTGACAGTGAAATATTAGGAAACTGGTAACGTTTAAATTTCACAGATAGGACATACATGACATAGTCATATTTCCTGCAAAGTTCTACACAATTTGATGTTGGCTGCAAAAGGGACATAGTATCTTTAAGTAATATTATTCATACCCTTACCAAGTTTTGTAATTTTTAAGTATTTGAAAAATTGATTTGTCGCGATTTATATTTCTTCAGAATGTGACACATTAAGGCTTACATCTACAAGTATTTAACAAAGGCCCTAATTCAACCAGTCCACTTTTAATTCTTGAGTTACAAAAATCAAAACAAAAACATCAAATTACAAAGGGTATGAATAATTGAGTTGTTAAAGGTAATACAAAGTTTTGATATGGGGTCATGAGTTTGGTTCGAATGAACATATTGGAAGCATGCCGATCCTACAATATTCAATGATCGGTGTCACGGTTGATATCAAGTCTAAAGTGATGAAATTTTGAATTAACTCTTTATGTTGTATAGCTCCCTCTCAAGATTGATATTACTGTAGCTTGAAAACAATGTTTCTTGACTAAAATCGACTGAGTTTCTACTTCCGTTTGGAAATTAGATATCAGAACTGCATATTCCTAGATTTTCATGGTTGCAGCTACTATTGTATGGCCGTAGGTGCTATTTGAAATTTATCAGGAGCACCAATAAATTTGATATTCTAATTTCTCGAAATCATAGAGCCCAATTTTTTCAAAGTTGCTTATTCTAACACGAGATTTTACAATGGTAATGCAAATTTAAAATTTCATAATCTAATCCCGTTGAAATATTACCAAAACTTTGTATTACCTTTAACTGTAATAAGCTTTTGAAAAGTGTACACATACAATGTATTTTCAGAAAAATAACACTACTCCTTCTATTGGTGAATGTCACACATGTGGGTGTCTAATGACTTGTCCCCTGACCCCTGCTACAAGTACCAGGAAAAGTCTAATTTTGTTTGTTTATGTTTTTTTAAATTTTGTTACAATTTGAATAGAAATCAATTTGGCCACTTGTTTTCAGTTTCTATATCTTGTATTTGCATATAGAGTGCAAAGTATAAAGAATGTACTAGGCACAAGAATTATTGTACGTCTGATTTTTGTTCAGGTATGAAAATTTAGTTGTGAATGTTTGTGGTTTGTTTGGATGTGGTCTTAGATATTTGAATGCATAAAAAGTGAATTTGTTGGGTAATGGAGCTTTCACATATACACTCCGGGGCCCGTACGGCGAGTAAAATCAGACATTTTGGGAATTTTGGGGCGTTTTTATCTGACCGTTAGGGCACCTTACGGGTCCCGTGCGGGCTCCGGACTGTGCCCGAAACGGGCCCCTCACGATTTTGGGGGTCAATTCTCATGAAAAATCTTCATGGGCGCCTTGAGGTGCTCAAGGGTTCCGTACGTGCACCCTACGGCGCCCTCACGGGTCCCTCAAGAGCCCCGGGTGATATGCACAACACAAGGTGTCTGCTGTCCGGGGGGGGGGGGGGGGGGGGGGGGGGGGGGGGGAGGCCATTTAAAATGAATATTGTCCGTGCGGGTCCCTCGCGGCGGCATCTTGAAATGTACAACGCAGTTTAAAATACAGGAGGTGCGGATACAAGAGAACACATACAGAGTGAGTTAGAAAAAATGTCCCACTTTTTAAAAGTTGTTTTGTTTGAAGTATGCATATTTAATCATGAGTTTCATGATATGTCTTGATAGAGTTATCCTCCCAGTACATTTAGGTACCATTTTCATTTGAATATCTGCATGCATGACTGAACATCAGATAATCGTTACAAGACTGCCAGATCTCACTTGCGCCAAGTTATAGGTGAGGAATAAAATAATGTTTTGAACAAAGACAGCCAGTTTTTTTCAATTATCCAATTAGCCAGACAGACAAAAACACACACACACATACATACACAGCCACACGCACACGCACACGAATGAGCATTCCAGTCTTGACAAGGCCCACCCAAACTGTTACTTTTTGTCGGGAATTCGTCTTATCGTACGAAAAGTTGAGAGGCCGCTATCCTCTTGGTGCGTATAGGCGGATCTTGTGCTTCATGATGATGATGATGATGATGATGATGATGATAACGATGATGATGATGATGATGATGATGAAGATTAAGATGATGACAATGGTGATGATGATGACATGATATTGGTAGTGAATGTGTACAAAAGGGAAATATTTGTAGGGTTATGCCACTTAAACATTCAGCGATCTTGATAAAAATCAATCAGAAATCACAATCAGAAAAGGGGTAATTATGAAACAATTGTCACCGTGTGTGTTGTGTGCGCGCGTGTGTGTGCGTGTGTGTGTGTGGGTATGTGTGGGTGTGTGTGCGTGTGCGCGTGTCTGACTGTCTTTGTTCAATGCACTGTTTTATTCCTCATCCAGTAACTTGGCGCAAGAGAGATCTGGCAGTCTTGTAAAGATTGTCTGATATTCAGTGATGCATGCATAGATTCAAATGGTACCTAAATGTACTGGGAGGATAACTCTATCAAGATATATCATGAAACCCATGATTTAATATTCATACTTCAAACAATACAACTTTTCAAAAGTGGGACATTTTTCTGACTCACTCTGTAGTTCAGTGCACCACACGGCACCTGGCCAGGCGCCTTGAGGACCCCGGCCAGGCCCCGGCAGGGCACCTCGGAGCCATTGGTACACCTGGTCATCGGACGGAGCCCGTAGGGTTACTGGCCGGTACTCGGCCGGCACCCTGCCGGCACCCTTACGGACGCCTTGGATTTCACTCGACCAATTTTCTCAGGGCACCTCCCGAGCGCAGCAGAATATGTGACCACACATGCCGTAGAAATGAAAATCGGATGGTTCCTGTACGGTCTCTAAATCCACGGCAAGTCGTCAGGTAGGGAAAATCGTACAGGGCCCGGTTTATATGTGACCTAGGCATTAGCGTTGTCCCTTTTGGGATTTCTATTAAGTCAAACCTGTCCATAGCGACTGCCCAAGGGAAACACAAAAAGTAGTATTTGTAGGCAGGTGGTCTTTGTAGACAGGTTCGTTTAGTACATGTTTCAATGAAAAACCATTTTCAAGGGAAACAAAAAATGTGGTCTTTGTAGACAGGTGGTCACTAAAAGCAGGTAAGACTGTGTATATATACTGTATACCCTATGTATTTTAAAAAATACACAGATAGAAAGGAACAATTGATAGAAGATACAAAACAAATAATGCCACAAACCTTGAAGTATTTTATATATTATATTTAGTTTTATAGTAGACATGTACAATAATATTCTACTATTTACAAAAGTAACATTTCTGCAAAGATACCGTCACCTTCCAACATGATTTCAATTTCAAGTGCAAAATATGTGACACAGCAGTATTTTTTTCTCCATTTCAACCTTTAAGCCATTAAAGATATCACTTCTAAAGAAGACTAGCAAGCTATTTGATAGTAACGACTAACGAGTTAAACAAATTATGTTTGCATTTTTTAAGTACAGACTATAGAGGATAATTCACTTAAACATTGCCATATAGATATAAAAACAACAAAATTCACCGATATAAAAAGGAAAGTACACATGTTATACTCTGAAGTCAAATGAAGTCTCCGTACAATCTGGGGGGAGGGGGGGGGGGCATGACACAAAGGTTTGCGATCAATTGTAAATATGAAATATTGATTCTGATTGGTAAATAGTCGACCTTGTTAACAATACATATGATATACATGCAACAATGATCTTGATTGGCCATCGTCATTTTGCACTAGTCCGGTTCACTAACATATTTAAATCTTATGCTACGGTCACAAAGGTTCGTACGAACGATAATTTCGTACGAATCTCCCTGTTTTTCCATTATATTTCCGAATTTCCATTGTCTGAAAATCGTTCGTACGGCGTTCGTAGCAGTTCGTAATGGCATTTGTGACCGAGGCTTTATGCATAGTTTTTAAACATAGTTTGTTTGTAACAGCCTGAGCTTGCCAGATATAGCAACAAGTAATGTATGCAGAATATATTCCAAATGTGGTTAATTCATCTATCGATTGCAAACCTTTGTGTCACAGGGCCCTATAATATCTGGTAAGAATGAACAAACAGTGAACATCATTATGAACTCACAGCAGCATACTGAAGTGTCATGGCTTAGTGGTTAAAGCTATGGTCTAGGAATACCGAGGTCTAAGGTTCAAAACCATGCCTGTGTGCTGGAGTCACTAGGCATCCCATACATCCTATAATAATTCTAATCCAAAAGACTTCAAAAAAATATAAAGTATCCTAGGTCTAAAGAAAGTATGCTTACATATATTCGCCCCAGCATATACTTGAACATGTACGGTAGTATTTCCTTTGAATTCTAAGCACTTTATAAAAATAAGAATCGGTATCCACAGGATAAGAAGGGCAAGATAAAGGAGGAAAATATAAATATAAGACTTTGAAATGAATCAAATAACTAAAATGGAATTCTTTTTAAATCATTAGTGGATTCTAACACTCTTTGCTTTACAAAAGTAATTGGGGGCACAATGCTTACTAATGCTCACAGTATAATGTTTATTTGGACAAAAGCTTTAATACGACTGTCCATGAAGGGAACAAAAAGAACAAATTCAACTGTTTCTGCTTCAATTCATGTACAACATGACTAATTTTCTTGGCATTCGTTAATGCTTTGTAGATAAGATACCACAATTTGTGTGATTCTAGTACCGGTAGTAAGACTGATATACAGGATCAAACAACAGTTGAAATAAAAAAAAAAATTCAAAACTTACAAGACGTCCTACTTGGATGTTTTTCAGTAAGAGTACGGTTGAAAAATTAAATTAAAGAATATTCTTTATCCCTTATTATATGTATCCCTCTCAAAATCATCACATGAAATTTCATCCATGAATGAAAAATCTCTTGATAAAGTGTAACTGTAGTGATATCAGAAAGCAGCAATGTTCAATTGCAATATCAAGAGATTCTTTCTTTATTGACGAATTATGGGGACAATGGACATATCGTCGCCTTGCTGGCAGAGGGGCGTTAGCTCAAATTTCAGGTAAAAAATGAAGCGTTAAGCAGAAGGGCGTTAGCACTTAATCGCCTCAAACTTTTATAAAACAGACTTATTTCCGACAAAACTTGTGGCCATGTTCTACTATAACATTTCTATTAGTCTTTTAAGTTTTAAACCAATTTTTGGGATGGAAAGCAGTTTAAGTATAAAACAAATCTTTAAATGCGAATAATTCGAAAAGTAGTTTTTGAGTTGCTTGCGCGCTAACGCCCTTCTGCCAGCCGGCCGACGATATGTCGAACTGGAAACATTACACTGAATCGCCCATTGGATAGAGATTCAGAATTTTATTACATTGTATTTTCATTCTCTTTAATACAGGGATATGAACCTAAAAAACTTGCAAAATGCAAAATTAGTTCCTCAGTTGATTCATCCGTTGCATTGAATCTCCAAACGCAAAAGAGCTGCTTGTACTCGCTCATAAAAATATAAAACAAACTATCATCATGAGCTAGCTTCTAGTGTGTTAAATGCAAAATTAGTTCCTCGGTTGATTCATCCGTTGCATTGAATCTCTAAACCAAAGAGCTGCTTGTACTCGCTCATAAAATTATGTAACATACTATCATCATGAGCTAGCTTCTAGTGTGTTAAATGCAAAATTAGTTCCTCGGTTGAATCATCTCTTGCATTGAATCTCCAAACACAAAAGAGCTGCTTGTACTCGCTCATAAAATTATGTAATATACTATCATCATAAGCTAGCTTCTGGTGTGCTAAATGCAAAATTAGTTCCTCGGTTGATTCATCTCTTGCATTGAATATCTAAACAAAAGAGCTGCTTGTACTCGCTCATAAAATTATATAACAAACTATCATTCTCAGCTAGCAATGTTCATCAAAGCGCGGTCGTCACAGACAGAATGAAATGAAAACTCAGATACTATATTGAATCCCTGAAGTGTCTATTTTCGTAACATAACTAGTGCATCTGGTGTCGTCATATTGAGAGCGCTCCCATCTGGCCGACGAGCACAACACTGCTGCTTTCCTCGTCACTGCTGGTTGTCGTGTTGCTATGGCAATTTTCGCCCTGTATCCTCTGTCGATGTCTCTCCGCCTGTCTCTGCTTCTTCTCGAGCCGCTTCTGGGCTTTCTGCTGCCTGGTACTCTGTACAAATAACAAGGAGTAAAAGGAGCTCTTACATGTTAGTCATTATTTACGAAAGAACACTGAAGTACATTGAAGTGTAATTTTGATATGAAGAAGAAAAAAAGGTATTGAGATGATGAAACCTGGTAGAATGGAAACTGAAAATATAACAGACCTGGGCCCTGTATTACAAAGAGTTTATATCAATCGCAACTATGTACATAAGAGATAGGATATTGCTAAATTGTGATTGATTAGAGGACTTGCAATTGAATTGGATCAATCGCAACTATTTGTAAGACGGGGCCCAGGCCTATATAACCCAATTTAGCGTAAAATCCAGGTTATAAATATATACATAACCCTGCCAAAAAGAAGATCAAGATTGGAGATGGATGGAAAATATGTTCATCTAGTGGATCATGTCGTTTGATATCTTTAGAAAAGCTACTTATTTATTTCCCTTTACAATGAGAGCTCTTTTGAAATGGTTATGCAGGGAGGTGTTTCACAAAGATCTCAAGTCGAACTTAATTCTAAGTTGGACTTAAACATTATGGAGAGCCATTTGTAGCCTTAAATAATCAAAAGCAAAAATTAGTAGTAGTTTAGACTTTTCATAAATTCCACATCAAGAACAGCCTTGAATCAACATTTATGCCTTTTAAAACAACTTTTACAAAATATTTTCAAAGCTGCTTACGGCTTTCCATAATTGTTAAGTCCAACTTAGAGATAAGTTCAACTTAAGATCTTTGTGAAACACCTCCCAGATTGCCCAGAGGTGGTTTCCTGGCCGGTGATCTTACCTGATTCTTGGCTTTCCCCCCGGGAGTCCTATTTGGCTGTGTCTTGCTGCTACTACTACTATCACTGTCTTCAGGTACACCAAATAATCTAGTTCCGGAGCCGTCTGTAGACCAGATGCCGGCAGCACCCTGAGGTGATCGCTCTCCTGATTTTATAGAGTTTTTATCTGAATGGTGGACATTTTAGGATAAGAAAAAGTTTGATCTTTTTTTTTCCTTCCCTAAGATGTGTGGGCAGAATATTTGATTTTATGTTATTTTATTTTCCTTCTGCATTCATGTAAGCATAGAGTTTTTCAATAACAATAATAATATAAAGTACAATAAGTATTTTTCTGACAAGGAATCATGAATAAGCAAATACATATATATATATATATAAATTGCTATTTTCAAAAACGAAATGATAAACTGTCATAAATACTATATTTCCTCAAACATTATAAAACATTATAAAATTATTTGCGGAAGAAGGACTGTCATTATAAGCAGATTGCTTGATAAGCAATATCATCAAGTCAAACCTATTGATAACAACTACCTGAAGGAAACAAGAAAAGCAGAAGTACAAAGCAGTCAGCCCTTATTTGCTGGTCCTTATTAAAGATAAAGTTGAGTCAGGGAATAATTTTCCTTAAATTTTTTGATTAGCAATTTCAGCTGATGGATAAATATTTCAAATGAAATTCTGTACATTTCTATGGAAGAAAACTGCTACACAAAAGATATTTTGTATAGCAGTCTTGCAAAAATGCATAGCAAATTGCGATGCGATACCAGGAAAATTATTCCCTGTGAGTTCTGGTCATGCGATTGCATTGTGAAAGAAAAGGTGTGGAATGGATCAGAAAACGTTGATCATGTCAGTATTGGTGTGTACTGCAAGGTTCTGGAGTCATCAAAATCATAATAAATTTTGCCCAGTCTTGGTAAAGTAACAAGCACTGTACACAGAAGGATGTTTATGGGACTACACAAATGGTGTCGGGCTACTTGCCTTGAATTCCTTATCTTGCTATGCTCATTACCCAGCCAGTATACATTTCTACCAAAAATGTTTGGCAAATGACATTTATTTGTAATCTTGTACATTCAGTGTAAGTTTTGTTAGATTCTGTGAGAATTCATTTTCTTTTTTTTTTTACCAGAACTCAAGTTTATCTTTAACCTAAGGTTTCAATGAGAGACAATGTTCATGAGACACAAATAGGTGGTCTTTCTACATATGTGGTTCCGGTTGGTCTTTATTCTTCGTTTCTTTCTTGTTCTACACTACACTCTCCCATGCTTTAACAAAAAACATGTCTTTCCTCCAGCGACATGTAATGTAAGATCATACAATTTATGACAAAGGATCTTACTAAACAATCTTGGACAATGATACTTTGTGATATCAATATACACTGCAGAGCAATAACCGTAAAACGAGACTTTTGACCGAACATCACGAGAGGTTAAGTGTCACAAAAGTTTCATGCCAAACATAATTCATAGACATGACTCATGTTATATCTTTTTGCAATTTTCACAACAATTTCTCACACGAAATGCCGTTTTCCACGATTCACATATGTTTCTGGTTTACCCGTATAAAAATTAATCATGCAATGTGATACACAATCGTAACACAAAATGCGCATTCATACCATGAGAAAATGTATCACAGTCAGCGTTGGTGACTTGAAGTAACACTCCTATAGTTGCATCCACGTTGCATTCATTGTCCATGAAAGTCTCTCGTATTAATTGCACATCCTGTAAAGCAATAAACATAAACAGTTTCTGAGCTTAGTTGATAAAATAACAAAGAGCGTGTGAACCTGAGCTGCCAATCCCAACTGAACAAAAATCCTATTCTTTTCCACAAAAAAAAACTGTTCTTTTTCCCCAAAAATTCTATTTTCATAATTAAAATCCTATTTTTGATCGATAAGTACATTCTTTTTGTTAGACTGTGTTCGTCGACACTGAAGAATTATGCATGAGTACATTTTACAAACATTGTGTTGAATATGCAAGAGTTCGGATCGTTCAATGAACCAATGATAATCCCCAAATTGCTGATGTGAGATGCTTGTAGGATACTTTACAAGAAAGGATGTGCAATTTGCCATTCAAAATGGCCACCAACAAAACTACACAAGTACATACAAATATTTCGGAAAATCTTTATTATTATTATTTTTTTGTTGAAAATTATGTTTTATTGAGGAAAAAATGGTACTGTCGTATTTACTTTTAAACATCGTACTAGTTGGCAGCTCTGGTAATTTTTATCTCATACATTACAAATCAACTGGAATAATGAAGATAATTACCCATCATGAAAGTATGTGATTTTTCCTTGATATTTGGTGTGACCAATGCTCTGGGTATATAAAAATCTTTGGTAATATACAAGACTAAAATGCCTTGGGTTTGTCCTGAAAAACTGACAATACCAATGTCAAATTTGTATGAATTGTCGCAACTACCGGTAGCAATATGTGGTGTGGTGCGATCACATCTAAGAAGGCCATTCTATCAACAACTTTCGTTTCTCTCCGCCATATTTTCTAGCTCCTGTCAAATCTCTATCAGGCGTTTTTCCTGTTAAGTATTTGATAATTTTAATTTATCCAGAAGATAAACAAGGTCATACTGAATTTCTATGTTTTATTGTCTCTCTTGACATGGTTGCACACGGTCTTTAACCCGCTGATTACTGAATTCCCTTATTGCCATAGGCTTAATGCAGGGGCCACCCAGTTCCAGTCGGCAATGGATTAAATGATTGCAGGACAACTGCCCCTATCACCAGCTAATTCAAATAAGTGTTTCACAAAGACTAAGATCGACTTTAAGTTGGACTTAACTATGGCAGGCCGTTCATGCCACTGTTTGTTTTCACCATTTACTGGCATTGGTCCCTCACAGTGGCATGAACAGCATGTCATAGTTGAGTCCAACTAAAAATCGATCTTACAGGGGGGATAGTGAGCACTAAAAAAAAAAGGGGGAGGGGGGTTCCTCCTCAACCACGCCCCCCTTGAGTAAAAAAAAAAAGAGGATTCGGGGGGGGGGGGGAAATAGCACCTAACAACATTCGCCCCTTTTGAGTAAGGAAACCGTTTTAAATCAGTTAAATATCAGGCCTGATCTTGGTCTTTGTGAAACACCCCTGTTTATAAACACAGCATATTCTGAAAGAGTATCTACATGCTTTGTAGTTCACTCTCTGACTTACCTCACAGCCTGGCACCTAACAACATTCGCCCCTTTTGAGTAAGGAAACTGATTTAAATCAGTTAATTATCAGGCCTGATCTTAGTCTTTGTGAAACACCCCCCTTTTTATAACCACAGCATATTCTGAAGAGTACCAACATACTTTGTAGTTCACTTTCTGACTTACCTCACAGCCTGTCTCGACCATTATATGTAATTCTACGTCGATGAGACCATCTTCTTCTACTGTTCCATTGGTGTACGGTGCATCGATCTCATCGCTCACTTTGGACTTTGTCCTGGCCTTAGGCTTGGTTTTAATGTCTGAACTAGATGACTGTAAAGGAAAAAAGAGACGTACTGTAAGAGACGGACAGACAGTGGAGGAGTCATACAGAAAGAGAGAGAGAGAGACACACTTTACGCGATGGCTCAGTGGTAGAGCAGTGTTCTCATAACTGAGCAGTTCAAAACCAACTCGATGCGCTTGTGTCCTTTGATAAGGCATTAATCCTCAATACCAAGTCCCTTGGAGAGGACTTAAAGCCGCCGGTCCCCTGGTTGCTCACTTACAAACATATACATGCTTCCTTAGAAGACAGGTAAAAGAATAATCAACCATCAACTGTTGCTCCAGCAACAATTGCTCCACAACAGTTTCCTACACTGACCAAATTCCTTACCTCAACCCTGGACCTAAGACTTTATCTAAACCTAACCTAAGCCCGATTGCAACCTTAACCCTAACCCAATGCTTTTAATGAAATAAAACAAGGAGAAATTATCGCCAGGTATATCGGATCATCGGAGATGAAGCGATCTAGAGACAGAGACACAAAGAATCCCTGGCTATCAGGATGAGTATTCAATAGGTTAATTACTAGTAAATATAACATGACTGGGTCAATACAAACATCAAATTCTCAATAATAATTGGTGTTACATGTACCTGTAAAATTTTGTAATAAGGCTCATCCACAGAAAAGGTGGTGAAACCACTGTGTCTTTTAAAAAAATGATACAATATTAATTTGGATTAATATAGTGCTTAATACGAAATACCGTCTCTAAGCGCTTAACAGATATTAGTACCTCGGTCATCGGATTCATTCACACACAATAATAATATATTACAATGTGCACCATCTCCACTCCCTGGGGCGTATTCTCATTAATGTACATGGTAAAAAATAATAATGCTGCAATTTCTTGCACCTTATGTGAACGAGCCATTAGTTTCACTCTACGTTTTTTGAAAATAATCTGAAGTTCCCTCGTTGCTCCTCATTAAATCACTCCGATAGCTGGTTCTACCGGACAAAATCATTGAAATGTAACTTTACCTCGCCACCGTTCCTGAAGTTGGTAGCTTTCTCTGAGTTGTCACCCAGCTTCCTTACACTAGAGTAATGGTCACCATTATGGTAGGATATATGAAGTTCCTTGCATGAGGGCTTATCTGAACCTACAATCTGGAGGGAGAATAGTAAAAAAAAAAATTAAAAATGTCATGGTTATAATGGTTATGAGTGCGATGGTAAAACTATTTCATGTTGAAGGATTCACAAGTACTGACTCGTATCAAAAATATATATATCAATAATATCATTTCTGACTTGTTTTTCAATTCCAGATCGATCGATCAATCTTATTTACTAGGTGTAAGCCACAAATATCTTTAAATAATTGAAATTTCTCCCAGAAAGTGTTAATTTATAAAAAAATCAATGATATCATTATCGAAATATTTTAATTATTTACATTTTTGTTCTACATTCATTCAGCTTTCCATTGATATAAAGGTGTATTTTCATCGGATAGGGTCTTTAATGAACTTGAAGCTTGTGATAAGTTTTTTGCAAACTTATTCAAGAATAAAGAGCTACATATGTACATGTACATGTATGATGTACAAACAAGAACAAAAAACCATCAAAATATACCAAATAAAAGGTATCACAGGTAAACAAACTTGTCTTACAGAACACTACCTTCCTACCATCCTTAAGATGCCTTAAGAGACTTTAGGCGTACAAGCAGCGTAACTGATATGCTAAAGCAACTCCAGTGGACCACACTTCAGGAAAGAAGGGCACAACAGAGAGTATGTATCGTCTACTGCATAATCCACAGACTAATTGACATTCCTGACGTAAACCTCATTCCAACCGCTGGGCCATCTACACGTGGGAATCCAGACAAGTTCCAAGTCCCCCACGCCAGAACCCAAACGTATCAAAAGACATTCTTTCCTGATGCAATCAGACTATGGAACTCTCTCCCACCAAGTATAGTCAACAGCACCTCCTTAGTGATCTTCAATCAGGGGGTACAACAAATGAGGCTTCGTTGAGCCTCTTCTGTTTTTTAGCCGCGCATAGTATCAACTTGTAGGGAGATTTTTACTTGCACTATTCATCTGGGCACTCGACAAGCACAAGTACGATAATACGCCAACGGCGGTCTGTACTTAACTAAAGAAGAAGAAGTTGCCGCATTGTAAATATGGGGTTTGTTTCCCTGCAACAGCACTACCATCCTTTGGCAAGACATTAATTTACACTTGCCACACTCAACCCAGGTGTAGTAAGTGGGCATTTTGGTAGGATTTATTTCTTGAATGCACTGAGCACAGATGCCAAAGCTAAAGCCCAAGTGATAATTGTTTTATGTCCACAGTCGAACTATATATATCGAGGCGTTAGTGACACAAAGACGTAACTCCATTTTGGCCATTTTGAGCAAAAGTGGTTTATGTGTCACTGACCACTTGGGCCTTAAGGAGTTTAGTCTATGTTTCACTAGCCATTGACTTCAATGGGGTGTTGGGTGGAGTTAACTCTTTTTTGTTTCCTGGAAGGCCCACATTTTTCTGAACATTTTGATATCAAATACTCATTTTGGAAAAAAATGGAGTTACGTCTTTGTGTCGCTGAACCCTCAATATCATGATGTGATATTTTCTATAAGAATGGAATATTATCAGGCTACTTACCCTCCATACTGGAAGATTCAATTGATGAATGACCACATTGACCTTCAGGAGGCGAGCAAAGAACATTTTGATATCAAATACTCATTTTGGAAAAAAATGGAGTTACGTCTTTGTGTCGCTGAACCCTCAATATCATGATGTGATATTTTCTATAAGAATGGAATATTATCAGGCTACTTACCCTCCATACTGGAAGATTCAATTGATGAATGACCACATTGACCTTCAGGAGGCGAGCAAAGGCCACGATACTGTCATTTCCTGCATAGGTACCAGGCTTGGCCAGGTTGGACACTGGTCAAGGGAACAGAGTATGAACAAATTGACCATTATATTAAGCTACATGTATCAAGTCAAGTCATTACTAAGAATGCATGATATTTCAATAGTAATCTAAAACCGATAGCCTAAAATACAATAGTGTGCGGACCCGGATTTCCAGGAGATAACAGTGCCATAGGTACCAGGCTTATAGCCAGGTTGGACACTGGACAAGGGAACAAAGAATGAAAGATTGATAGCTACATGTTTCAAGTCAAGTCATTACTAAGAACGCATATTTCAATAATCTAACACCGGTAGCCAAAAATGCAATGTTGTGTGGACCTTGATTTCCAGGAGATAACAGTGCCAGAGGTACCAGGCTTAGCTAGGTTGGGCAATGGTCAAGGGAACAGAGTATGACAGATTGATCCTAAGCTACATGTATCAAGTCAAGTCATTACTTAGTCCAGAATTTGGCCTATTTAATTTGATCTCCACAACACCAGCAATGCGACCTGCCCCACTTACTTGCTGCAAGCAAAAGACGGGGAAAAAATAACTGGACTGTTGAGCATAATTATGAGTTCGTTGATAATGCCATCTTCGTTGGCTTGAATAAAGTATGTAGGGAACATAAAGGACCGAGTAGATTCTGGACTAGTTATTACTAAGAACGTATGATATATTTCAATAAGCTAATACCCGTAGCCAAAAAATACAATATTATGCGGACCAAGATTTCATAGAGATAATGGTGCCGATACAAGGTAATTGCACTTCAGTTCCTTGTGTATGTACCATGCCTGGCCAGGTTTGACATTAGATGTGGGTAACTGGGTACAGAGAATGTAATATATATAGACAATAAAACTTGAATCTTGAGTCTGAAATCTTATATACAGTACATGTTATGTACATGTTTGTAAGTACTCACAATGTCTCTCAAATGGTACGTCGTCTTCCATAAAGGGTTCAAAGTTGTCTTTGTGATCTCTCATATACTGTACAACGTCTAACCGGTGAGCCATGTGGTTGCGACCGTGGCCTTCCAACTGGTCCCCAAGAGCTCGGAATAAACAGTTTCTGAAAAGGATAATAATAACAATAATAGTGTAAACTTATAGAGTGCACACACCGTCTAGGGACGCTCATAGCGCTAGCTCAGCAAAAACTCTCTTTAATGCAAGTGAAGTAAACAATTTTGCAATATTTATATCACCCATTTCAATCCTCAGCTTTGCCCGGTGGGGCCCGGTGCCTCCAGCTGCTCCGCTCACTAACGATTCAAGAGACTAGCCCAGTCAGCACATTATTCACAGGAGCTCTAGCAATCATTAGCCATGAGCAATCATTAGACCACTTCTTACAATGCCAATAAGTGTTTGTATACAACTCACTCCTATACATCATTCCTAGATCTTAGTCAAATAATCAATCAAAAGCAATTATGTATGACTCATCAATTGAGACTTTATGAGCAAGTACTTGAAATTTTTGTCATTTTTAGCTCCCACATTCAATACATCTAACAAGAATCATGAAAAATAAAGAAAAATCAACATCGCAGGTGTCACTTTTCTTGTTAGTTGATCTTGAAGGGCTGTAAACTTGATAGAATCATCAAGTATACACAAAATTAATGATGTCAGTAACATATGGGAGAAATATCTTGGACTTGCCAAAGTGCATCTTAAAGATATGAAAGTGCACTATTAACCAAAATATTTGAGGACTATTGTTTATTTTGAAGATGTGAAAGGACACGATTCACCCAGACTTTGATGGACATTGAAACTCACCCATCACCAGGAATATCTCTCAATTGAAGACCCATACTCTGCAGCTGGGTGGCAAAGCTTGCAAAGTTCTGATCGTCTGCAAGGTACGATTCGTCCTTTTTCGTCTTCCTGTAAGCATTCCTGATGGCTCGCTCGTCCCTCTTCCGTTCTGCTGCATCCTGACGCTGTCCTTTGCTGGGCTTGGATTGACCCCCTTGTTGAGCAGAGCGCTGGCCTTGGCGCTCCTGGTTCTGAGCTGCAGAACGGGCCATCCTCTACGGCTTTAAACTATAAACCCCTGTGGCAAAAAAACAAACAGAGAAAGTCTCAGAAATGCATTCCCTTAGCCAAGGATTCACATTATGGCAATTCAGTGCAATGTCTTATTTCTTTGGGTTTTTTATCCATATTCTTGGTTTCTACTTATATTATATTTATCATCATTTTGTATTATGAAGATATATTTTAAATACATGTGTTTCATTTTAATTTGTATCATGTATGAGACATTTTAACAAAATATAAAGAAAATTAAAATATTCTGTGCAATGTGTCCATATGATTTATGACATTTGTTCATATACATCATCTATGAGTGAGAACTCTCTTGATATGACTATCAATAAACACTAATGGTAGTAATATGAGAAAGTATCATTATATACCGGTACCCAAAAGATTCTTCCCTTTTTTATGACGTAGACCTATATGAAATGTACGGGACACAGATATGGCATGGAATAGCCAATGAGCAGTTTTTCAAGGTCCTAAGGCAACAAACATGGACTGGTTGGCAAGAAAGTAAATGATTGTAAGACTTGGGTATCAATTTTTTTGTAAAGACTTACCTATTCATTTCTACAACATCATCCCAAGAATAATAATGCTAACATAGAAAGTTAAAAATAAACTAACGGTATCTCAATTTGACAACCTATAAAGAATGTAGAATTTGTGAGACATTCTCAAGCAAGCCCCATGTGCGCCCAGGAGAGGACAACGGTGCTATACAAGAAGCAAATTCAAGCCATTCTCATTATCATCATTTGCATCTTTGAAAAAGTTAATTTTACTTAAGTGCCTCAGTTCCTGGAAAGCGTCGCATTAGGACACTCTTTATCGTTTCCGAAAACTCTCAAAACACCTCTGTACAAATCTCACCAAAACTCACTCAAAATTAGCACTAGTAACTACCATTATAATGACATCTAAATAGCAGTAAACTACAATCAAATTCAACTTACTAAAGATAGAGAAAAAACAATTCTTTGAAAATATTTAGTCGGAAATCTATCATCAAAGCTGGGAAGCGCTAAAATCTCCAAGGCAACTTGACCAAAAAGTAATTGGCTACCGAAATGCTGAAAATTAAATGGTCCCTCTAATTAATACTCAGTCATAAGTGCATGCATGCAAACGAACGAGTGGTTTCCTTCACCACTAAATAGCAAAGTTATTTTTTACCTTTTAATACTGATCTAGTTTCATGAAGACATATATTTTCACGAGAAAAACTATTTCTAAAACACAAACGACAGTACTAAATAAGGAACACAATTTTCCATACATGGGACTAGGTGCTCACTAATGGTCTTTTGCACGGACCAACTACACGCTCATTTCACGTCAAAAACACACTGAAAACGTTTTTTAAACTGTAGTAAAATCATATAATACATTACCTAAGATAATATTTATTTAGAAACGAATGAATTCCGATTGTAATTGTAATCAGAATGTATCTCAAAACGTTAAAACATCGACATTGTCAATTTCGTATTCCTTCCTTCTCGGCCAGCTTGCACCATCGCTATGACGTCATTGATACTTGAATATAGTTTGTTTACAGAATGAAAATTAGTTGGGGATTTCCAATCGGTACAGGTAACCGAAGGGGGAGCCATAGGGGCATAGGAGACATATTGCCCCAAACATGGACTGATACTTTGAGGGAACACATGAGGTCAATGAAGTGCAACTTTAGACTTGACTTCCAAAATCAAGACACTTCCACGAAATACATGATTAGGAAATAGTTTATAGGGCATAAATAATGAGAATGAGATTATATCGAATTGAAATCCCACTACATATTGCACCACATACATCTGTGAATCTGGATGTACACCCCTCTTTCCTTTTTTCCTCTCTCTCTCTCTCTCTCTCGCTCTCTTTTCCCCTTTTCCCAATATATGTTCCTCCATAGTCGTATTATTATGTATCCATTGAGGGTAGTCATGCTCAGACAAGCTTTGTTTACTTAAATGTCAACCCTCCTGTTTGATGTTTTCGATTAGTTAGGGCAGCCAGCCTTACTTTATTCGACATTATATTCTTTTGAAATGTGTAACATTTGCAATGGTTTGTTTGTTATATATTTGTAAAAATGCAATAGAAAAAGATAATGTAACAGAAATAAATAAATCAAATCAAATCAAATCATTTAGGAGTACTGTACCAATAAAATATAAAGTCGGCATGCATGAAACTGTCATTCCGGGGGTGGGAGGATGTTATTCCCCAATGTTTAATGCATAATGACAAAATGATCACTGTAAAGGCTTTCGTATTGCATAAATTCCAGCTATATATATTCACAAAACAAAACAAAATATAAATCATACTCACAGACCCATCCCCGAGTGTTAACAGAAATTGATAAAGGACGACCCCTCCCCCAAAAATCGTTCATTCCAAACAGGTTCCAAACAGGCTGACAGGTTGTAGTCAACTTTATTTGCCCTGGCCAAGCCTTAGTTAAATTATAAATGCGTGATTGCTTCATGACTTAGAATGCCGCTGATTTACTTCTGTATTTATCTGCACCATTACATTTTTCTTCACATCGTCCTCCGTTAGATTGAGATGCTTTTAAGTGCTAATGTTTAACATCATGTTGTTAATGGACACATACCTCGCTTAGTTACTATGCGGACATTGGGACCTTTTTTTAACTTGCGATAGCAGCGGAAGGGGTGTGCAAGACAGAAGAGACGGGATATATACTACTATACTACTACAACATGGGTAAAATTGCATCATTGCATTATACCTTTCCTTAGTAGTTTATTTCTAAGGATTTTTGCGCTTTACAAAGCTATCTAAAACAACACAAAATACTAATACATGTTGTAGTAAATAATTGTTTAAAAATGATGAAGAATTAAACATAATTATTTTGACAACTGTGTTTCAGTAATCATTAATAGTGTTTCCGCTTCCTGGTGTCACTCGTGCATGGTTGTGTGTTTGACGAAGCCCAAATGTTCTATTCCGCACCTGCTTCGCCCGTCCGCAATCACTAAAATATTTGAGAAGAAAAACAGGGCCTAAATTATACAAGGTGATTGACAAATTAAACATACTGCTTGAAGAGAACTGTGTATGGTATTTATCTGTTGGGAGATTAACCAATCGCACGAATCTATAGTTTAGAAGATCAAAACGTTCAAAAGAAGTGCACTTTCTCGAAGTGAAAAGGAGTAACTTCTCGTGATGAAAAGGGTCATTTACCAGGGGTGCATAGGAACACATTGTAAAAACATAAGGTGCACTTATCCGAGTTAAAAAGGGGTGTGTCAAAGTTAAAGGGGCACCTCTCAGATTTGAAAAGGGCAATCAATTTTGGGATACTTGAAAAAGTGGTGGCGCGCTATGCCCCCCCCCCTGCCCCCGGGAGGGACAACTTTGGTATACATCACCCCTAGGCTAATAGCAGATCTGACCATATCAGCTCCCTCGCCCCCCCCCCCCCCCCGCCCACGAACAAAATTAATAAAAGGCCTGATATGATTTAATTAGCATAAAACATCATTTACATTATTATTAAGAATTTTCAATTTTGCCAAGTAATCTTATTTTTTAAATGAAATGCAATCTACTTGGTCGCCACACAAATTTTGAATTAAAAATAGATTAAAAAGATTGAATTATGTGATTCCCCACAGAAGGACTATATCATCGGACCAATAGGAGGTAACACAGTTTATAATATAGCTGATATAGGAGCAAGTATTATGGTTGAAATTGGGATCCTTGTTACCTAACGTTTATTTTTATTTTGTGTAGCGAAATTCATACATCCTTTGTAGGTACCCCCACAAAGCCCTCTCAATTGTTATTATTTCTGATCTCGAACCCCCCCCCCCCCCTCCCCCTCCCTCCCTCCCTCCCTCCCTCCCTCCCTCAACCGATGACACCCTTCCATCCCGGCTCTTCGTAAAAGCAATTTAATTGATACTTTAAATGCCATACGATTAATGACGCAACTCCGTACAGTTTATTCTGATTATTGGCCCGATCAGTCTATTCTACTTATAGTTATATCAAGAGAAATGTATTCATTGTGACGAAATAAAAATGCGTTTATTGCATTGAGCTATCTCTATGGTGTATTGTGACGAAATAAAGATGCGGTACGGTAGGTGCGCACGCATCATGATCTGCATAATAGTTACAAAGTTATCTCTTTTTTTATTATCTTTTGACTCTGATCATTCTCATCATTATTAATGAATGGGGATATTGTTATTCTACGAAATTGGTTGCATCATTCTCTTCTAAATATATTTTTTTAATTTATTCTAGATATCACTCGATATGCGAAGGATATCGAAACGGAAGAGGGGATGAAGAAATTGGTAAGGGATGAGGACAAGGTTGAGGACACAGCGGATGAGAACGCAAATCATGAGGAGACGAAGGAGGAGGAGAGAAAGAAGTTTGTGGAAGAGAAGGACTTGAAGGAGGTAGAGGAGGTGGGTGAAGAAGGAAAGGGAGAAGAGGGGGTGGAGGAGATGGAGCCGGAGAAGAACAAGGAAGAGAAAGAGGAGAAGGATCTTGCCATTTCTTTAGAGGGCAAGGAGAAGGTGGGTGAAGAAGGAAAGGGAGAAGAGGGGGTGGAGGAGATGGAGCCGGAGAAGAACAAGGAAGAGAAAGAGGAGAAGGATCTTGCCATTTCTTTAGAGGGCAAGGAGAAGGTGGGTGAAGAAGGAAAGGGAGAAGAGGGGGTAGAGGAGATGGAGCCGGAGAAGAACAAGGAAGAGAAAGAGGAGAAGGATCTTGCAATTTCTTTAGAGGGCAAGGAGAAGGTGGGTGAAGAAGGAAAGGGAGAAGAGGGGGTGGAGGAGATGGAGCCGGAGAAGAACAAGGAAGAGAAAGAGGAGAAGGATCTTGCAATTTCTTTAGAGGGCAAGGAGAAGGTGGGTAAAGAAGGAAAGGGAGAAGAGGGGGTGGAGGAGATGGAGCCGGAGAAGAACAAGGAAGAGAAAGAGGAAGAGGAGAAGGATCTTGCAATTTCTTTAGAGGGCAAGGAGAAGGTGGGTGAAGAAGGAAAGGGAGAAGAGGGGGTGGAGGAGATGGAGCCGGAGAAGAACAAGGAAGAGGAAGAGGAAGAGGAGAAGGATCTTGCAATTTCTTTAGAGGGCAAGGAGAAGGTGGGTGAAGAAGAAAAGGGAGAAGAGGGGGTGGAGGAGATGGAGCCGGAGAAGAACAAGGAAGAGGAAGAGGAGAAGGATCTTGCAATTTCTTTAGAGGGCAAGGAGAAGGTGGAGAAGGATTCAGAAATGACGGAGGAGTTAAGGGAATTTGCTGACCTCTTGTGGGAGGAGATGTGGATGGAGAAGATGAAGATGGAAAAGGCGCAGATGCTGATGGTGGAAGTTGAGAAGTTAAAGACTTGGAATCGGGCAGAAGAGATTCTGGAAATGAAGGAGGGTGGAAATAACAGACTTTCATCAATCGTGGAGCAAATGGAAGAGGAAGGGAACACAAATGAAATGAAAGATGTGTTGGAGGAGACACAAGACTCTGAAAATGGACGAAAATGGATGAACGAAAAGGATGAAGATGTGAAGACGGAAAGTGTTCAAGATAGCATTTTTTGGTAGAAACTGGAAGAAGAAGATGATGGAAATGGTTATGCTGTTTTGATCGGAGGAGGAACCGTATAAGGCACTCATAATCATGATAATACATGATCATTCACTTCGTAGACGTAAACATTTGTACATAAAATATGTAGCCAGGACTGTTGAATATAATTTGACTCACAGTTTTTGGAAGACAATGCTTGGGAGAACTTACTGTGAAATCAGGAAGAGAGATGCAGAGAGAGGCAGAGACAGAGAGAGACAGGGATGGAAGAGAGAGTGAGAAAGAGAGAGAGAGAGAGAGAGAGAGAGAGATAGCAGAAAGGGAGAGAGAGAGAGAGAGAGAGAGAGAGAGGGAGACAGAGAGATAAAGAGAAAAAGATATATACATGTATATTACATTCTTCTTTTTTTTTCTTGTTTGTCCTTGTTCTTTGTAAATAGTGTAAATAGTTCACAACCCTTTAGGAATTTTATTTGTCATCATTTTGAAAGGTGTTGTAACGATTCATGCTCTATTTGCTTATCACCTTTGTGTGTATCATAGTTGCAACTTGTCTTTGATAAAACTTTGTTATATTTTTTTTGACGTGATGTTAATTCAAATGGATTGTAAAATTGAAAATGATTCATTATATTATATTCTTTTTCATGTGATGTAAACTCAAATGAATTGTGAAATTGTGAATATGCATAAATAAATAAATAAATATAAGGCCGAGAAAGAGAGAAAAAGAGAAAGATATTAAAAGAGAATGGATTACCTTAGAGAAAGTGATTTATAGATAGAGAGATAGATAGAAAGACGAGAGAAACTGGCAAACTTAGGGGAATACGAATGAGAGGAGATAGGGGATAACGAGATTGAGAGGCAGTTGAAAAAGAAATGCAGTCGGAGACTGAGAGAAAAAAAAAAACAATAACATTATGTCTGAGAGGAAGAAAGAGAGAGAGTGGGAGGGAGAGAGACTGAGGGAGAGAGAGAGAGAGAGAGAGAGAGAGAGAGAGAGAGAGAGAGAGAACGGGGGGAACGGGACGGGGGGCATCCATTGCGTAATCTGTCTCAAGCCAACCATTTTTTTGGAGGGGAAATCAAATGTGTGGTGCTTGTTCATCCTGGACATTCAACTGATAAATAACAGTGAGTTTGAAGAAGAAGTTTTCCAACTATACACAGATTAAGATCACATTACAAGTGTGAATCAATCAGCTATAGCTAGGACGGTCTTATAAACAGTTGCGATTAATCGCAACTGTGTACATACGAGCTAGGAAACTGCAAACTTGCGATTGATTTAGAGCAATCACACAATTTTTAATTTTCTTGACTAATATTCTCAAACATTGTTTTTGTTTCAATTTGCATTGTTGTTAGTCTGCATTTATAAGCCTCTAACACATATAATGCACTCTGATTCTTGTATTGATTTAAATAAGTCATCAATGATTATAATACAGGTTAACAATTTGTCAAAATTGTCTTAATTTTACATATGAAGCTATCCCAGACATTTAATATCAAGGCTTTGGCTGAAATGTCCATGTATTTTAAAAAGATTGTATTAAAGCCTGAATGCAGACTACAGAACAGTTGTTATGCATTGATCAATCTCGTCTCCTTTGGTATTTGCATCACGATCGAGAGCGTTGCCGCCGTCACCGAACAAAGGTAATTTTAGACATTTTCATAACATTTTGAGACGTTTGTTACATATTGATGTATGTATTGGATGTTTTTTTTTCTGAGAATGATGAACAAAAATTGACAAAACATTATTAAAAGGGACAATCCAGTCGAAGATTGATTCGGCAGGCAGTGTCACTTTGATGCTGATGCACTGCACAAGTGCAAGTGCTGGGTACATGGTACCGTCTTACACGGTAGTCGGTAGAAGTCGGCTCCTCAGCTCCGCCCCGAAAGCATCGGCCTGCGCCAGCCGGATGATTGGGAACCGATGATGATCGGCCATGGCCAGCGCCTGGCTGGGGCTGTCCAACTTTAGCGAACAATCACAGTTTGATATTTCAAGGGATCATGATATTCAATTTATGATTTCTCGTATTTTGCAAACAATTATTCAGTTCTGTAAATGGCTAACAGGTAAAATAATTCAGTGCAAATTCAAAGTGAAATAGATCTAGATCTAGACAATTTGAATTTATTATAGATCTAAAAAAATGATAAAATGAATGACATTCTAGTAAAACTGGAAAGTGAGCGAAGAGATGTTTATATTATGGGTGATTTCAATATTGATTTACTGAACTATAACACACATTGCAAAACAACTGATTTTCTAGGTTTAATGTTTTCTTTTAATATGTATCCTTTGATTTCAAAACCCACTCGTATTACATCTTATAAAGCATCATTAATAGATAATATATTTACTAATACAATTCATAAAAGTAAATATTCAGGACTCATCTATTCCGATCTCTCTGATCATTTCCCTATATATTGTTTATGTAAAGATAACGAAAATTATTTTGTTCCAACTTACAATAAGAATTATAAGAAAAGATTAGTCGATGACAGAGGAATATTTATGTTCAAGGAGAAACTTGGTACAACTGATTGGCACACAATATATGATAACAATGATGTAAATGTATGTTATGACTATTTTATTGACAAGTTTTGTACGTTATATGATGAATGTTTTCTTGTATGTACTTCAACATCACGCAAATTTAGTCATCAAGTACAATTTAAGAAACCCTGGATAACTAATGGCATTTTGAGATCAATTAAGCGTAAAGATAGAATGTATAAAGTTGAAGTTCATAACATACATTAAATACAAGGAAAAAAATAATATATAATGATTACAAAAACAGGTTAACTTCTATAATTAGAGCTTCGAAAGCTGAATATTATTCTAGACTATTCTATATAGTCAAAGGTGACATGGTTAAAACGTGGCGAGAAATTAATAATTTACTTGGAATAAATAAACATAGTTCATTACCACAGAAAATGTTTTATGAGAATTCATCTTTCCATTCTTCAAAAGATAAAGCGCAGGCTTTTAACTCTCTTTTTATCAACATGGCTAAAAAACTTTCAGCGTCAATTCCAAATTCATCTAAATCATTTAACGACTTTTTGACTGCACCATGCATGTCCTCTTTGTTTCTGAATCCAACCTCCTCTCATGAAATAATTAGTCTCTGTCATGAACTCAAAATGTCTAAAGCAACCGGTCCAGATGATGTATTAACTTCTGTGTTAAAAAAATGTATACACTTTTTTGTAGACCCATTGTGCAATATCTATAATAAATCTCTTGTCTCAGGAATATTTCCTAACAAACTTAAAGTGGCCAAAGTTATTCCGTTACACAAAAAAGGACCAGTAGGTAATATAGAAAATTACAGGCCAATTGCACTGTTGTCAACTTTTTCAAAATTACTTGAAAAGATTATGTTTAAAAGACTTTATACATTTTTGTTAAAAAATAATTCCTTAGCTTCAGAGCAATTTGGTTTCCGGAAAAATCATTCCACGTCTTTAAGCATATTAAACATTACAAATTATATAGCGCATGCATTTGATTCCTAGTCATGTTGCCCCGGTGCGTATTAAAGATGATGTTCTTAAGAAAACTGATATTGTTGAATTTTTAGGTATCAAACTTCATGAATCACTTGACTGGTGCCACCATATTACCCATATTTGTTCAAAAATTTCAAGGGGGGTTGGTATCATGTCATTCTTTAAAAAGACGTTGCCGAAACATATATTATTAACTGTTTACAACAGTATTGTTTTACCACATATCAACTACTGTAATATTATTTGGGGTAATACTTACAAGACTCATTTACATAAAATTCATATTCTTCAGAAACGTGCTGTTCGTATAATTTCTAATTCTAACTACAGTGTATATGACTTCAAGTGCTCCTTTGTTTTATGATTTGAAATGTTTGCCAGTCTTTGACCTCATAAAATAAAACAATTTAGTCTTCATGTTCAAATTTCATAAACAAGAGCTCCCATCAATATTTAATAACATGTTTAAAACAAATTCTTTTTACCATTCTTACGAAACCAGAAATAAATCAAACTATCATTACCCCTTTGTATGTACTTCCTTGACCCAACATACTTTAAAATTCCAGGGTATACATGATTGGAATTCTTTACCTTATGATTTAAAAAGTAGTTCAACCCTATCAAAGTTTAAATATTTATGTAAACAGTTCTTGTTTAAACAAATGAAGTGCACTGAGTAGATTTTTCTGTACAATGTTCTGCCTGCGGTGTGTGTTGGTGTGTCTGTGTGCATGTGAATGAATGAGGGTGGGTGTATGTTTGTTTTGATGTTTTACAATATTTGTTATAATGATTTGCTTGTATGATTACTTTTGTACAGGGCCCCATTCTCACAAGCTTTGCTTTTCTTGGGGTCCTTCCGATTTTGCTGTTAATTTGTTATGTGTTTTATTTTGAATTTTAATGAAAAATAAATGAAATGAAAAATGGAACAACTGCAGAATACCCCGCACGCCGAGAGTTCTGGACGCTAGCTAGCTTGGTTGATATGTAGTACATCATTAACAGCTTGGAAAGAGGTCACAGAAAATTAGACTTTGATTATTTATTGCTTTGCATTACTATTGATAAAGGCCCAAAACAACTGAATAAATACTGAGATTCAAACCCATAACAACTCCAACATTTTATTATGCTGTCCTTACTGATTGAGCTGATGATAGGTAGATTAAAGGTGGGTTTGCATGATTATTATAACCCTATTAGTGACCCTTACGGTTACCATTTGCACACGCGCAGGTTTAGCTACATTGTATCTAGTTAGACTCTCTGATTGGTGGCTCAAATGTGCGGGGTATTCTGCAGTTAAGCCTGGAAGTCTGGAGATGTGATGATTCATTTGACATTGAATGTTGATTGAACAAAATTCATTCAACATTACCTTTACCTTTACCCGAGATTCTGTCCTTGATCAAATCATGAGAAAAGTAGTAATTCACCCAACTTCCAAGTTGGTAGATTCAGCATGTGCGACAGTGCGAGTTATTTGTGTTTTGTAGGAGTATTTGTCACCTGTTCTCTGTTGCAGCTCGTCTTTCTAGCTAAATGTATGAAAAAAGTCAATTCAAGCAGAGAATAAGAAGGGGGAAGCAGCCTAAAAAATTGTTTGTGTGTGTATGTTTTGAGAGAGAGAGAGAGAGAGAGAGAAAAAAGAGAAAGAGAGAAAGAGAGAGAGAGAGTGTGTGTGTAACAGCTATTGTTTTTGTGTGCAAAGCCAGAATAGAAAA